TAAAAGACTATCCCGGGCCCTTATGTATTGTTATGGCATACGACAAATCAAACAAGAGGCTGTCTTCCATACGATATAAATCTCATTTAAGGTCAAACTTGGCATCATAAAAATTATTATCAACTTTCCTTTGCATTTTTTTATTCTCAGTAAAAGGTTTGATCCACAGTCAAATTCTATTTAAAAGTCCTCCCTTTTGATTGATGTTTTTGAGCAACATCACTGTTACATCTATCTTCAGTTCAAGCTTCTCCGGAGGCATACCTGGAGGCTGCTGGGCATTGAAAAATTAAAAAAAAAGATTTATGATCATATACATTTGATATTCTATTAAATCTGCGCTTATTTAAGTTTTAAATGTTTCATTAACTTTTAAGTACCTCAAATTAATGTTATTAGTTAGCTTTTTGGTAATTGTTAGTATAATCCTTTTAAATAAAGTTTATTATCCACACTTATATGTCCTTTGCCAAAATTTATCATGCAAAGGTCTTGCTTCCATATACTTTTAGTAATTACAATTTCACTGTTTTAATTAAATTTGTCTTTCGTATTAGAGCTTGAAAGTCAATTTTTATACTTTGGTTGATTTTCGGATCTCATATTATCGCAAAATTTTTACAAACTTTGACATATTTCCATAACTTAAGATCTAAAAATAAATTTTCTATTTTATCAATTAGAGATCTTTTAAGAACAACATTTGCTGTCTGCCTAAGATTCGCACAGCAAAAAAGTCTTTCCTCTACAGATCTGTGTACTGAAACATCTCTGGGTATGCCCCATGTTTTAGATAGGGCTTTATTAAGCTCTTATTAAAATTTTATTTTTGCTTAATGTCTTTTTATTTTATTCTGGTTTCTTTTCAACCTTTATCCGTTTAATTAAATATTTTCTTAAATAAAAAATATCAAATTTTAGAGGAAAAATTAATAAAACCTTTTTTACTAAAGATTCTTGTCATGACATGTACTAGTACATAATCATCGTAAAACTTCATCTATTTCATTTTAAGTGTTTTTAAATATCATGGATATTTCATCAATTAGTGATATAAATGTTCTTACAGTTCCTTTCCCTTCGACTGTATCCCCCTAAAGAATTTATCTCAATCAATATAACAAGAAGTTTTATTGTACTCTGCATCGTTCTTTCATCCCTTAGCAGATTAGAACCAATTCTAGTTGTTATTATCTCGATAAACTTGACATTTTTTTAATGTATTATTGTAATACATAAATAAGCAGATCTTTCTAGATTCAGCAATTCCATCTTTTAATAATAATCTGCCCCCCTTTATACATGCCATTTATAATGTTATCGCAAGCTATCCTCTCCTTAATATTCAAAAATGCGATTAATTGTTCAACATTTACAACATTTTTATGCTCTTCATTTATACTATTAACATATGTCATGGGATATGAAAGACCTAACAAATCCATTACCCACACATGAGAATTTATTGGATCCTTTTTTATCCTAAATATTCTATTCCCGGTATTCCGCTTTTCTCAAAAGTCTTCTATAATATTTTTATAACACTTTAAAATAATTTGCTGACTTTGTTGGTTTATTAAAAACAATGATGTATCCAAAAAATGACCTTTCATTAACTGGACTTTCTGCTTTTTCTAAGACGTTATCTCAGTCCCCGTAATTTTAAAAAAACCACCTTTTTTTTAAATTAAGAAAAGTAAAGGATGATTTAAGCTTCTATATACTTAAATCATTATTAAAGGTAGCTCCCTTGGCGTTTTTAATAACACTCATAAATTTAAATTTTTTTCGCTAAAGAACCGGTGTAGAGTCTAGTGACTATCCTAGCATAGTTATTTGCCATTTATATTGGGGTATTTAAACAGTAGTGATTTCCTTTTAAAAAAAATTCTAAAATGTTTTAATTAAAAGACTCACAAGCCCTTGAACTAAGTGAAATCATACTTTATTGTTTCTGTAATATTCATTGCTTTTTTTCATATCTATCTAAATTTATATATCTTTTTTGTAGGAGTTAAATATTTATATAAAAAAAATTCAGAAACTTTTGTTCTCTCTTAAAAAACAATTTTGTTAAAAACTAAAATTTTTTCACGTTCACGCGTATCACATGTATCATTGATATTTTTATATGTAGCATGCTGCAAAAGAATGCAACTAATATTAAAGTAATACTCTAATGAGCTTAGAACTTTATTATTGCCGTCTGTTCCTTGCAAGCTTCTAAAACAAATTATATTTTTACTTAATAATTTATTAGATTTTTTATTTATGAAAGACGTGGATTAAAATTTAAATTATTTTTATAGTAAACTTTTTTAATGAAACTAACATGTAGTTGTAATACCACATACGTTAATCTCTTGTTTCTGTAAAGATTAATATATCATCCACATACACAAAATATGTTCTTCTATTTCTTTTTATAAAATTTTGTTTAGAATTTTCTGTGTATAGTCGAAGCTTCTAAAAGCTCATTTGCAGTCTGTTTTAATTTCTAAACGCTGCTTTTTTAATGCTCTGTTTTCAAAAAAAATCTATAAAGTACCTCTTTATGACAATTTTAAAAACATTTTTTTTCGTATTCTAACAAGATTTTTTCTATGAGATATTGTAATGTTGTTTATTTCTAAAATTTTCTTTAATTATTAATAAGAATCAAATAGGCCCGTCTGATTTTAAAATTGGGTTTACATTTTAAACCAGCTTCTTTTAATTTTCTTATTTTTTCACTTTTTTGTAATTGCTTTGTCTCTTTTTTTACTCCTCTTACAATTTATAAAGGCCTTAATTAACATCTTTTCTTTATGTTTAAATTTCACAGAAAAATTTTAAACACCTCTTATTTTAAGTACAAAATAAATTTATAACTTCATATATTTTAGATATATTCGTAAAAATTTCATAATAATTTCTTTTTTTAAAAATTCTTACCTATTATAATTATTTCGTTTTCTCTTTTTAAGATTATACAAAAGTTTTTTTCAAATTTTTTATAAGATTTTAAATTCTAATTAGATTCTCTATTTTGGAAGGTTATGTATTTAGTGTTAAAATTTCTGTTAATTTTCTTAATTTTATTTTATAAAGTTTTATATAACAAAATAAAAAAACTTTATGCATTCTAATTTAAATAAAAAGACCAAAAAATTAATTAATTTTTAAAACTTACATTTTTTTTAGAAATTTCTTTAATTGAAGTAGTTTGGTAACAATTCCTTTACATATTTTTTTTATAATTATTTTCTGTAATTCGATATGTTTTAATTTTTAAATCCATCTTCATTGCACTTAATAAAAGAACGTTTAAAATTAAAGAAGCTTATTGAAAATTTTAAAATCAGTTTCTTGACAATTTCCAATGTCCAAATGACCACGCCATGCTTATAATACACAACACTTTTCGATACTAATTATCTCTTTTTTATTGTACATTTTATGTTTTTGATTCTGTTAACAGTTATAATGATTCATCAATTATTTACACATATTTAATAGGTATTCCTTTTTTTGTTTTTCTTCTTTATTTTAAGCTGAAAGTTTTACACAATTTCAAAAATATTTCTCAAATCCTTTACCATTCTCTCAAAATTTTACAGCTTAACAGAATATTAAAATAACTTTCATCTTTTTCATGCTTACTTTAATCAGATATAGTATACTTCTGTTCAAACTCATCTGTCATATGCACCTTTAAGTCAGTATATTTACTTTCTCTCATTTTCTTTTCGTTCTTAAAGTTTTCATTTTCAACAATGATTCGAATGTAAGTAGATTTTAAAATGCAGTTTATTTTGCCTTCATTATCCAATAAATTTGATTTTTTCTGTCAAAAGCAAATTGTTTATAAGTTATTACTTTATATTTTTATTAAGACTGCACAATATTAAAATGATACCTAGTTCGTTCGTTTTATTTACACCATGTTTACTGTTGAATAAGTTATACAGTAAAAATAATAGTAATAAATATGACAGATAATGTCAACATGCATATTATAAAAGAAGCCTCTCGATCTAATGTTTTGTTTGATATAAAAGCTTTTTTATGCGTTTTTTCAATAATTTTTGTATACTTTAATCGCTCTTTAAGTTATACCACAAAATTATTAAATGTACAAGTAATAAAACAAGTCTGAATAATTTATTTATACATTTATTCTTGCCAAACAAATGCTATTTTCTACATTTTTCTCAATCTTTACTTATGTAATAAGAAATGATTGTGTGTTGTACATAAAAAAAATTCTTTTATCACTGAAGCATGTCAAACCAATGTACATGGTTTTTGATAAAAATTATACTCTTAAACT